ACCTGGGGGATAAGTTTAGGGGGGTATAACCAGCAATAAGTAGTGCGCGCGCCCGATAAAATCTATTGCCGGCCGTATAGCGGAAAAATACGTCCGCGAGCAATATTACCGATGATGCCAACAGATAGAGGACACTTTAACGGACACGACAGTATCAACATCATGTACCTGGGGGATAAGTTTAGGGGGGTATAACCAGCAATAAGTAGTGCGCGCGCCGGATAAAATCTATTGCAGGCCGTATTGCGGAAAAATACGTCCGCGAGCAATATTACCGATGATGCCAACAGATAGAGGACACTTTAACGGACACGACAGTATCAACATCATGTACCTGGGGGATAAATTTAGGGGGGTATAACCAGCAATAAGTAGTGCGCGCGCCGGATAAAATCTATTGCAGGCCGTATTGCGGAAAAATACGTCCGCGAGCAATATTACCGATGATGCCAACAGATAGAGGACACTTTAACGGACACGACAGTATCAACATCATGTACCTGGGGGATAAATTTAGGGGGGTATAACCAGCAATAAGTAGTGCGCGCGCCGGATGAAATCTATTGCTGGCCGTATTGCGGAAAAATACGCCCGCGAGCAATATTAACGACGATGCCAACAGATAGAGGACACTTTAACGGACACGACAGTATCAATATCATGTACCTGGGGGATAAGTTAGGGGGGGTAAAACCAGCAATAAGTTGTGCGCGCGCCCGATGAAATCTATTGCTGGCCGTATTGCGCAGAAATATGTCCGCGAGCAATATTACCGATGATGTCAACAGATAGAGGACACTTTAACGGACACGACAGTATCAATATCATGTACCTTAGGGATAAGTAAAGGGGGGTATAACCAGCAATAAGTATTGCAATAAGTAGCGGCTAAGCGACTACATAGATCATAGCTACTGTGCACTGGTTCTAGTATAACAGACAATGATTAATGGTCAGTGCAGCAATGGTATAGCAATTGTTAGTACAGTTCTGAAATACAAACAAATGAAAGCGTGTTAGTAAAGAAGCCAGCAAAAAATTACAATCACTCTAATAAATCAACTATTTTCTTTTACTCCCATAAATCAAATATCTCACAGCTGAATTGCTGCTACAGTAACTATCTGTTACCCACGGGCTCCACCCCTGTTACTACAATAGTATTAATAAAACTATTGATTGGTTAAGTTAAGATGAAATAAACAAAACAGAATACAGTAATGGTAATGCAAACAAATAATAACAGCTGAGGTATTTTTAACATTATGTAAATGGAAAGTTCCCTTTGGAAAGCAATTACGACCTTATAGGGCAGTTTATGAAATAATGAATAATTTTGCGCAAGGTTTCTCGTCATGACGAACATTTTAAGTATATGGTTTATGGGGGTGTGACTTGTAGTTTTCTCAAAAGTTCATGGGTACTTTTGACTTTATACATAGATTACAATAAACATTGACTACAAACTAAACACCACACATTATTTTAGGTAACACCGTGTTCTCACGGACCTACGCGATAACAAAACGAATTTGAAAAACCACCTTGCTGTCGACTCCCGCCCATCGATGTAGTTATTATACATCGATGCTCCCGCCTCGCCGTCGCCGACCCCGACTGCGACTCAGACCATAGACAAAACAGACTCACTGTCTAGTATCTCGGCTCGGCGAGCGCCGCGCACATCCAGCGCTGTACCCCGGCTGTACCCTGCGCAGGCGCGGGCGACTGATGCGCGGCCCGGCGGTGAACCACAAGATCAGCTGTTTCTGAACTAGTGTCATCTGCTAATTTGTTATGTTTATATTTTGGAACATAATTTCGGTGAATTGGCGAGGCGATTCTGCTAGTATGGTTTTAGTTTGATTATAAATATTATAAATACTAACTTAGTTACTTGTATAACTGTGTGGGAAGAGGTTTAACACCAGAAAACCTAGTACAGTATATATTAGTTACAGTTATTAGTTATTAGTTACAGTATATAATATTGCTCGCGGACGAATTTTTCCGCAATACGGCCTGCAATAGATTTTATCCGGCGCGCGCACTACTTATTGCTGGTTATACCCCCCTAAACTTATCCCCCAGGTACATGATGTTGATACTGTCGTGTCTGTTAAAGTGTCCTCTATCTGTTAGCATCATCGGTAATATTGCTCGCGGACGTATTTTTCCGCAATACGGCCGGCAATAGATTTTATCGGGCGCGCGCACTACTTATTGCTGGTTATACCCCCCTAAACTTATCCCCCAGGTACATGATGTTGATACTGTCGTGTCCGTTAAAGTGTCCTCTATCTGTTGGCATCATCGGTAATATTGCTCGCGGACGTATTTCTCCGCAATACGGCCAGCAATAGATTTTTTCGGGCGCGCGCACAACTTATTGCTTGTTTTACCCCCCTTAACTTATCCCCCAGGTACATGATGTTGATACTGTCGTGTCCGTTAAAGTGTCCTCTATCTGTTGGCATCATCGGTAATATTGCTCGCGGACGTATTTTTCCGCAATACGGCCTGCAATAGATTTTATCCGGCGCGCGCACTACTTATTGCTGGTTATACCCCCCTAAACTTATCCCCCAGGTACATGATGTTGATACTGTCGTGTCCGTTAAAGTGTCCTCTATCTGTTGGCATCATCGGTAATATTGCTCGCGGACGTATTTTTCCGCAATACGGCCGGAAATAGATTTTATCGGGCGCGCGCACTACTTATTGCTGGTTATACCCCCCTAAACTTATCCCCCAGGTACATGATATTGATACTGTCGTGACCGTTAAAGTGTCCTCTATCTGTTGGCATCATCGGTAATATTGCTCGCGGACGTATTTTTCCGCAATACGGCCAGCAATAGATTTTATCCGGCGCGCGCACTACTTATTGCTGGTTATACCCCCCTAAACTTATCCCCCAGGTACATGATGTTGATACTGTCGTGTCCGTTAAAGTGTCCTCTATCTGTTGGCATCATCGGTAATATTGCTCGCGGACGTATTTTTCCGCAATACGGCCTGCAATAGATTTTATCCGGCGCGCGCACTACTTATTGCTGGTTATACCCCCCTAAACTTATCCCCCAGGTACATGATGTTGATACTGTCGTGTCCGTTAAAGTGTCCTCTATCTGTTGGCATCATCGGTAATATTGCTCGCGGACGTATTTTTCCGCAATACGGCCGGAAATAGATTTTATCGGGCGCGCGCACTACTTATTGCTGGTTATACCCCCCTAAACTTATCCCCCAGGTACATGATATTGATACTGTCGTGACCGTTAAAGTGTCCTCTATCTGTTGGCATCATCGGTAATATTGCTCGCGGACGTATTTTTCCGCAATACGGCCAGCAATAGATTTTATCCGGCGCGCGCACTACTTATTGCTGGTTATACCCCCCTAAACTTATCCCCCAGGTACATGATGTTGATACTGTCGTGTCCGTTAAAGTGTCCTCTATCTGTTGGCATCATCGGTAATATTGCTCGCGGACGTATTTTTCCGCAATACGGCCTGCAATAGATTTTATCCGGCGCGCGCACTACTTATTGCTGGTTATACCCCCCTAAACTTATCCCCCAGGTACATGATGTTGATACTGTCGTGTCCGTTAAAGTGTCCTCTATCTGTTGGCATCTTTGGTAATATTGCTCGCGGACGTATTTTTCCGCAATACGGCCGGCAATAGATTTTATCCGGCGCGCGCACTACTTATTGCTGGTTATACCCCCCTAAACTTATCCCCCAGGTACATGATGTTGATACTGTCGTGTCCGTTAAAGTGTCCTCTATCTGTTGGCATCATCGGTAATATTGCTCGCGGACGTATTTCTCCGCAATACGGCCAGCAATAGATTTTTTCAGGCGCGCGCACAACTTATTGCTGGTTTTACCCCCCTTAACTTATCCCCCAGGTACATGATATTGATACTGTCGTGTCCGTTAAAGTGTCCTCTATCTGTTGGCATCATCGGTAATATTGCTCGCGGACGTATTTTGCCACAAAACGGCCAGCAATAAATTTTTTTGGCCGTGCGCACTACTTATGGCTGGAGTTATTGCCAGGTTCACACAAGTTAGCAAATATACATGGAACAATACATTCAAGAGACTAGACAGATTGTATCGAATGATCCGACTCATTACAAAATAAAACATGCATGAACAAGTAGGAGAATATGAATAGAATGCTTTCACCTCTGGAGAAAGCTTAGAATATAACGAAAAGAACGATACCGAACTCGATCCAGTTCAATCCGATTCAGTCAGTCATAGAGCCTTCGCCGTAAACGATGTTCGCGCGTCGATTTTTCGACGAGTGACGCTCGGAGGGTTATACGTGTTTTTTTTACCGCTAAAAAAATTTCGGCCCACATCGTCACCAGACGACTTTGGCCATTCTAAGCATCAACGTCAGATCGTCACCAGACGACGATCGGCCACTGCTAGGGTTAAGCTTAGCCTCGGCTGTAAGACTAATAAAATGCACAAGATTTTACAATGGCCTAGATCATTCCTCTGGTAGCCTAAATCAGAACTTGTACTCACCATAAGACAAGTGAGGAGAATTTTTTACATTACCTTGACTACAACTTGGGCCCAATAAAAATACACATTTTAACAATGGCCTAATTGATATAGGCCTATCCCTTCAGTGGTAGCGGTAATAACAGGCCTAGGATTCCAACTAGACTAGGCCTAGGCTAGGCTTAGTCAATTATTAGACAATCATAATTTTTCTGGTATTTTATGTTTATTATAGTACTAGCTTAGGCCCGTGTAGGCCTAGGCTTCAAACCACACGTCCACGAAACGTTATTAAGTGACCTAGGCCCATTTCAAACTTATTTAGGCTGTCTGATCTGGTTAGAACGATCTCAAAATCCACAAGTTAGCCTAAAACCATTAAATTAGGGTAGTATTTACCTCCTAAAACCATAAATATTCACAAAATTGTGTTAATTAAACTTAACCAGAATTGTTTTTTAGTTACTTACCGAGTTTTAATGTATGTAAAGGGATAGAGAAGAAATCTCAGTGACCTAAGATAACATAAACGGTGTGGTCGCAGAGAAAGAGAAATGGGGTCACGGAGTCAGTGTGTAATGGCGAATCCCAATGCAAAATGCAATGGTGGGGGAACCGAAGAACCGAGGAATGGACTATGATGATGGAGGAAGGAGGAAGAAGTAGTGTTAGCTTGTAGTGTAGTGGAGTGGGAGTGATCAGGTCCTGGTCAGTGGGAGTAGAGTTGGAGTAGGATGTACCGGAAACGAAAGAAGAAGATAAGATTAAGAAGATAGGAGACAAGCAAAATGGCTCACATTGCCAATTATTAATAAAGGGGACAGCTCACTTACTCTACAGATCATAGACTATACGAGCTTTTTAAATAATATTGAAGGTTCACTTGCACTACAGGCTCGTATACTATACGAGCCTATCGAAAATAAAAAATAAATGAAGAGGGTTCACTTACTCTACGAATCATTGTGCCTATGAGCCTCGTGTATTATATTTAAAAATACAGTAGGAAGGTTCGCTTACTCTACAGATCATAGTGACTATGAGCCAAGCTTACGAATTATTTGATAATTTAGGAATCGGCTCGTATAGTATACGAGCCAAAATAATGAATAATATAAATTATAGGAATAGGCTCGTATACTATACGAGCCTGCAGAAAAATATTAGATGGCTCACTTACTCTACAGTTCATTGGCACTATGATCCGTAGAGTAAGTGAACCCTCTTCAAAATATTAGATGGCTCACTTACTCTACGGCTCATTTAGCTACTCGTTGCGCGGTTTGCGTTCGTGAAACTTTAGGCGCTATGCCCGGATTCGACTGCTGCGACTGCCTACATAAGTGTATTGCATCACCTCAATTATTTATTAAAACGAAATAAATATGTATGCACAAGTAAATTTATTACATTTTTGGACTGAATACTTTAAAAATGGAGGGAGCATGACTTTTATGTTTAATTAAATTAAACGTTATAGAATAAAACATATTTTGACTAATATCAGGTTATATAATACACACTTGTATGATCCAGATACAGAGCTACAGACAAAACCTGTGGTCCGATTTAGATTAAATTTCGTATCTGGATTTATCCACGAGTCACTAATTTTTTAAGCACGGGTTGAGAAATAATGGCAAAAATTTATAAAAACAGTTCACCAGTTTAGAATATTTCTCAGTTACTGTGAGTTGCAAAAACGTGTATACAGAAGCATTTGTGTACACAGAAAATATAGAGGACTATATGTATACAGAAGATATATTAAAATACAATACGCACACAACTATCAACGTTTACATATGTAAAATTAATGAATTTGTTGTATTGAGTATTTTTAACATTATGACGAAGCCTTAACAAAACATATTTTTTTTAAGGAGTTCTAGGGTGTTGAACTATATTGTATTTATCTTTTGTGGAAGATTCTGTCCACGATTTATGATTGCTAACAATTTAATACAAAGATTTAAGTCTCTGTACGTGAAGACTAAAAACACGAAACAAACTTTAAAGTGATAGAAAAGATTTGATCAGGATCTGGCGTTTGATACCTTTTGGGAATAAATATAGCCTCTACTTCAAAGGTATACATGGTGAGGTAGCCTCTGGAAGTCCATCTTCAGGTTAACAAAAACGTCAATAGGTCATCTAACCAATTTGGTTAGATGACCTATTGACGTTTTCTGAAGATGGACTTATTTTCAAGTCCGAAACTATAGTAGTGTGATACTGAAGAAGGATCACTTGATGAAGCCAGGTAACTTAAACCATTTAGCTTAAAGTTATACAAGTTGGTTTCACACCAACATTTCATGCACATATGAAATCTATATAATTAATACGCGAACACGAAGTTTGTCGGTTGAATCCTCCACCATTTCTTAACCGATTTTATCCACTGACGTCTCATTGGAAAGAGCGTGTTGCGTAGATTTGCAAACTGGCCTAAATTTTTTGAAAAAGTCCCTTGGCCTCTGCCACAGTGGCTTTTTAAGTTCCCATGTTATCCTTTCGAAGAACATAATATTGTTTACATCAGCTGTTTAATTTAATTGTGTTCTTTGTTTTTCAATTCAACGAAACGCATTGGTTACATTAACTGATTTTGTGGAAATTAAATATCTATCTATATATTAATTACGAAAGCCGATTCTTTGCGTCAAAATTGTGGGCGACTGGGTAGTCGTAGAACGACGGGAGTGGGTTCAAATTAAAGGTCTCGATCCCGGAAAAATAGTGAAATTCCCCAAATTTTAACACAAAATTAGATAAAACCTTTGACTTAGTCAATAATATAACGTAAAATGTTCTCCATAAGAATAGCATTAGAAGCCATTTGTCTGTTGATTTTTGTTTACCTCAATACAGCTGATCGTGATTCATCTAAGCCAGTAAGCAATATTACATTTGGATTTAACTCATTTGCCAGTAAATTCTGCAATGTACTGTATACTATATAAAACCAGGGATGACGTTACCTACAATTGAGACTTTTGTCGTTATGTCTTAGAATGTTGAAATTAATTTTACTGTGCAATTTGCAAATTTGTGTATTTGTATGTAAATTAGCCAAGCGCATGAAATTTAGTAGAATCGTGGGAGATGGTTAAAATCAAAGTAAATGGAAGTAGAATGGCTGAAACATTTAAGATTTGGTTTCTTTAAACATATGTTCACGAAGTTTACAAAATTATTTTACTTTGATTACATTTCTTCACATTAGTAGGTTATTGTTGTGCTGAAGGAATGTTTAACATGAAATAGCCCCATTGACTAAATAATCAACGATGCAAGATTAGTTAGAAAACTTCTGTTTTGTTTTTATTTCAAAACATATGTTGAAAATTTATTCAAAACTTTTGTTTTAAATTTCATAACATTTAATTTGACACGTAATTGTAGTGTTTAATCTATGATTTTATCGAGTGGAATAACCTTAAGGGGATCCAGGCTTCAGAAAATACATTTTTTAAATTTTTTATGTTTATCATTTTTTTAAGATATTTATTATATCAAATGGGCCTAAAAACTGTTATTTTATTAACCGACTTCCCCACTACCAACAAAAGGAGGAGGTTCTCAATTTGTTTGTGGCGATGTTTTTTTTTTTTCTATGTATGTTCACCAATTTCTCTGTGATTCTTTTACCGATCAGTGTGGTTCCACCACCAAAATAACCAGGAGAGTTTCTATTTGGTACCTTATATATTATCTTTAAGTATAATATTTGTTTCGGTGAAAAATTCTTAAAGCCTTAAATATTCAACACTTATTTTGTTTACATTTGTTCAGATTGTTTACATTTGTGCAGAGAAGGCAATAAATAATAATAACATTCCTTCAGCTGTAAGTTGAAACCATTTAAATGAAGCTACAGACAATTCTTCATGAAACAGTTGCTTCATATTGATCAATAAACTATTTCTTGCCATGGAGCCTTAATGAATTACATTGAGAAAAATGCATTTTGTTTTGGTTACTATAAAAAATGTATTTTAACGTTTGACCTGATTTGTGTATACAGTAATTCTGTTTTTAGTACCTATTGAATATTCTGACTTACAAAAACATATGTTTCAGTGAATAGCTGTATGATATTGACAAATAAAGGTGTATTGTGAAAACCAAAGCATTCGTAAAACAGGTCTAAATATAAATTAAATGCAATTATTCCTTACACGTACACGACCTAAAATGTGTGACAGTGCATAATCGTCAATTGTCTTAAAATGTAAAATATTTTAATTACTAAACATGCATTTGCAGATGTGGAATGTTTATTGATATTCTCTACCCAGTTACTATATCATATCATTACTATTATGCCTGCTTCTGAAAGTCCTAGAGGAAGATGATTTGCAATTTCGACTAGGCTATATCTTGATCAAACAAAACCACCTACATGGCTTGCACCACTTTTAGCCGAACCAATCTTTCATATAATATTTTCCAAAGGTACTATACGTGTTAACGACCAATTTTCCACTTTTGAGAGATTTTTTAGTGCTGGTAGCTGAGGAATAACTTTCATATTGTTCCAAAAGGCTTGAGACGTTACTGTATTTATTTTTATAATGTAGAAGTACACTGATTGCAGGAAACAATGATGTCTGACATTTCAATGTATCTAGAAAAGACAATTAGTTTTTCATTAGGCCTAATGTAATGGACAACTCTTTCTTTCTTAAGGAATATCTCAAAATGTTTATTTTCATACCCATTGATTATGTAACCTGAACAGGTGCCTCAAGCAGTTTTAAAATAATGATTGTTCTGTGGAGCTTTTGATTGTTTCAAACAGTTTTGCTTATCAAAAAACCTCAAGTAATTAATACATAAAAAATTATACAGTCACTAAAAATAATGAAATAATTTATTTTTGTAAAAAAAATACAACCGACTTCAAACGCTCTAAAAAGAATGAAATAATTTCAATAAAGTAAACTTTTGTATTAGGCAAGCTTACGTATTTCAAGTCGGCTTGGCTCAAACTGCAAATATGATTGAAATTAAATATTGTGTGTGTATTTTGAAAATCAATAAATTGTAGCTGGATAACATAAATATGTAAAAAAAAATTCTGAACGGTTTTGTTTATATATATTAAAGGAAATATTTTCTTGTATTTTATGTTTACTTCAGAATAAATGCATTATGAAAATAACACACACACAAATGTTCTATATGAATAGGAAAATAATTTAGTTTGATATTGTGATAGGGAAAAGAAGCTAGTTTAGTATTAAAACGTTACTTTTCTTAGTTAGAAACATTTAAATGCGTTATAATATTTTTAAAGATACTCGTTAATACCACTATGATGCCGATCTCTGATTACGGTAATAAAATAACACTTAACGCATAACTATGAAAAAGACATGCAGATTAACCCCTTTAGTTATAGATAGTCACCTGCAATATGGACATTGGACACCCTCTTTAAATTTTGTATCAAAAATCATCATAGAGCCGCGCCGACTTTAAATACGTGAGCTTGCCTAATACAAAAGTTTACTTCATTGAAATTATTTCATTCTTTTTAGAGCGTTTGAAGTCGGTTGTATTTTTTTTACAAAAATAAATTATTTGTTGTAGCC